ATTTTTACTAGAGAACTTCCTCTGACCAGTAATCGTGTTCATTGCGTAAAGTATGGTAGCCAGAAAAAAAAAAAAAATCGAAAAACCAATTAAACCCTTCAAATCATCAATTTTAACTGAAAACTCTGGCTTATTTTTCCACACTTTCGCATATCTTTCTGTTTCATTTACTACACATTCGTAAAATTTGTGAGTTAAAAATTCTTCAAAAATTTCAAGTGGATTCACATTTTCTAAAATATTTTAAATACTCTCCAGAATACCAGGCAAATTACCTTCTTTGTTAAAAGCATAAGTAGGGTTATTTTTTTGTTTAATTTGCTTTTGGCTGCATTTTTTTGATAATTTCGTCTTAACTCTTTTTTTTTTATTTTCATTTTCATTACTGGCGATAGATGTAGATGGCAGTTGCTCTGTATTTTTTGGTCCAAAAACCTTTATGCTTTTACCGATGGAGTGATCAGTTCACCATCATCAAAGAACTTTTCTTCAGTTGACTTGTCCACCTCAGGCGGTAAAGCATCTAACTTTCTGACTGAATTTCCTTAGAAAACATATATTCTAATGCTTTTTCAGTGATGTGAAATACTTTATGCCTGTACATTTTGGAAAAATTGAAAAGGGAAAAAAACAGTATTAATTACCACTAATGCCCAGTGATCTATTTATAGATCAGCATGTTTAAGCTAAAACTTGAATTATAAGAACAGTTATTTTTTTAACTAAATAACGTAGAACAATTAAAGAGGTATTGAAAATGTAGAATATGTAAGAAAAGTATAATTTACTATTATTTTTTCCCCCGTTGGATACAAAATCGAAAGCTCCATTATGAAGCATCACTTGGCTAACTTTAGACGTTACCTGCTTGACTGTTCTGGTAAAGAATGTTTCAAAACAATTTTGGGGGTATGGCCACATGTGTAAGGAAATCAGGCAGTAACAAAAGTGATTAAAAGATACTGTTCAATGGTCGTTCTAAAAGTAGCTGATCTATAAATAGATCACTGGGCGGTAATGGGTTAATGCAAACAATTTTTGTTACCAGTGTTAGTATTTAAAATTCATGACTTTTTGAGAAAGTTCTAGATTGGGTAGGGGTATTTAACCTTTTACACTTTGGGGAAACCTTTGAGCTTAGTTTTCTTGAAGGAACCTCTTGATCAAGGAGCAGAAAAATAGGATATCAAAGCTTTATCCTACTCAAATTTACAAAATTATTATTACATTTTTATTTTATCGCAATATACACATCTTAATAAAATAATGAATAGTAAGGTAGCTAACATTTTTATTTTGTTTGCTCGTTTTCTAAAATATTCTATGAATAATAAACAAAAGGAACAATACTTTAAATGATTAAAAGAAGATTCTTTTAACGAGTTGGCTGTAACTGTTTTTTTTTTATTGCAAAGTAATTTAAAATTTCAATTTTAAAAGAGTGGCATCAATTTTAATCTGTAATAATTGTTGCAATCTGCAACCTAATGTCATCTTCAGCATCCAATCTGTTTCCATATTTTGTTTTTGTCACAGCGAGCAAAGAGAAAGATTTTTCGCATACATAGGTTGAAACAAATGCCATTAGATTTTTCACAGCTATTTTGGCAATTTCAGGATATTCTTTTCTAATGTCAATCCAAAAATGCATAATATCAACTCAACTAAATTTTAGTTTTAATTGAGTGTCAGTCAATATCTCTTATTTGTTTCTCTTTCTTTTACTGGGAGTTTGGAAGTGTCACAGTCTTGAAAAGGATTTTGGATGCAAGATAATTTTTCTTTATGAACAGAAAAATATTCAAGAAATGTTTTTCGCAGATCTGATAAATTTTGGACCAAACTAATTTTTACCTTTTTATCGAGATTAGCATTACTGACTAATATAATGTGCAAATTAGGAAAGCATTTAGTACTATCTTTCAAAATGCAATCTACCGAAAATTTCACTTTTAAGAGAATGACCTCAATTTTACTTTGTATGGTGAAAATACAGATATTTTTGACAGCGATGTGTTAAGCTGAAATAGGTAAAAATATCTGTTAGATACAGAACTTTCTGAATCCAAACTACATCATTTAATTTTTAAGCTAATTGAGATGCATGCTCAGATAACAAAATTCTTATTTTACATTTTAATTCAAATCTTGACAACACTTTTCCAACAGATAGCCAACAGAAGTCTTGATAAGTCAACAGAAGTCTTTTATGCAAACTTCCCATACTCTCACACAATAAATTGAAAAGTCTTGAATTTAATTTGATCTAAACAGGTGACAAATCATGGATCTATGCATATGAGCCCGAAACAAAACAGCAATCGACTATATGGGTCTTTAAAGACAATCTAAATCCAACAAAAGTTTTTCATGTTGTCTGTGTTCTTTGGCATGACCGGTCACATGGCGACAGTGGCATTAGAGCAATGCAGGATGGCCAATTCTGAATGGTACACGACTATTTGTTTGCCAGAAATAATTGGAGAAATTCAACAAAAGCAGAAGAACAGGCACATCATTCTTTATTATGCCAATACGAGCTCTCACACATCAGCTCAAACAAAGGAATTTTTGACAGGCCAAAACATCAGATTGATGGGTCATCCATTGTACAGCCTTAATTTGGAACACAATGGCTACTTTTTATCCCCGCACATCAAAAATAAAATATGTACTCAGTAATTTGCAACACCTGAAGAAGAGGTTGATGCATTCAAAATGAATGTTTTGGAGTTACCTCAATCAGAGTGGAAAAAGTGCTTTGAAAATTGGTTCAAACGCATGCAAAAGTGTATTGTAATTCACTGAGAATATTTTGAAAAACAATAAAACCAATTTTGATCATAATTTTTTTTTCCATTATTAGGCCAGAAATATAAATAGCAACACTCATATTACAAGAAAGCAAACAGTTGTAGAACAAAATGGGCAATATACTTTGAATGCTGATTGTCCTTCACATAAATAAATAACCTTTGAAGAACATAGAAAAAAATGCATCATGACTTTGAAGTGTATGTTGGAACCAACAACCAGATATGTATGTTGGAAGTTAAAATGGTGAGTGCCCTTTATTCCTTTTCGTGGAAGAAACATCACGTTAATGTGCGTTTCTTGAGCTCAAAGTTCCGTACACCTTTATGGGCTTCAAACAAAGTACAGTACAAAGTCCGTAATCCAGACTCGTGAAGACTTTGGCGATTCCGGATTAGGGTTTTTTCCAGATTATAGATCATCAATTTAAATCTGGTATGATGGCTTGCAGAAGTTATACAATTAAAAATAGGAAACTGTAATTTATGAAATAAAGAACAATTATGATCTAAAGGGTATCAAAATTTACAAAAAAAAAAAAAAAAAAAAAAAAAAAAAAGAAAGAAAAGAAAAGAAAGACTTAATATTATTTGTTATTTTATTTAAAATTTCTTTTAATGTAAGTTATTTAAGTTGCTTCATTTTTTGTGCTATTGCTTCCTCTTTAATTCTATAAACAGACATAATTTCTTGTTCGGTTACAAAGTTTCACTGTTCAAGTCCTGTAATTGCTGTGTCGAGAATACCGACTAACTTGTCAATCAAAATTTTTTCGTTTTAAAAAAACTCTCTGTCACTCTCTTCATTATCGAAAGCGAGCACATGTGCATTAAATGTGCATGCGTAAAACATCCCCCCCCCAAAAAAGTTTGTGGCTTTGAGGTACGGATTGTAGGTCATTCCAGATAATGGAAGTCCGGATTACAGACTTTGTACTGTAATACAGTAGATGCCACATTAGGTGATCGTGGTTAATGTTATCATTCAGATGCATTATCGGATTGCCAAACATCTGCACATTTGTATATGAAAACGTGGAAAATCCTTTACTTATTGCAATCAAGAATTCAGTTAATATCATCAAAATATTATAGAATAATTTTTAAAACTGAATAAAGTTACTAAATAAGATTATAAGTATTATAATAGATTATAATTATAATAAGATTATGACAGATTATAAAAGTTGCAAAGTGACAAAAATATCACGAGTAAGGGATTAAATGTCCAAGCAAGGTTTTGATTGGAGGGAAAGGGGGGACTACAGAATACCCCCCCTCTTGCTCTTAAAAAAATAACATATTCTCTGAAAACATATTTGCTAAACTAATTTTTTGTTGAGTAATTTTTAATTTATGTTGGCACTTTCTCTTTCAGTGAGAGATGCTCTCTAAGTATTAAGATTAGAGGTATAGCAATGGTCAATAATTTTCAGAAATGTTATGAACAGGTCATAAACAAATTTTTGCCTTTTCCTCGTTAAAATACTGTGAAAATTACCTATCTATGTTTCTAGTGAGATATATATTAAATCAGTTAAATTCCATTGCTATTTTGAAGGATATTTTTTCTTATTGTTTAATGTTATCAAAATAGACAAATATGATCACATTAAGTGGTGCCTACCTGTACTTCCAATAGTCTAATTTTACATAAAGCCTAATCAACTCTTTATATGCAGGTAAAAAACTTAAATATGGAAAATCGAAAATTTTTGAAGCTTCATATAAAAGTAACAATGGATGAAAAAATTGTTACACACATACAACAGACATCAATGCAAAAATGTGTTGTGGGGATCCCTAACTCATGCTCATACATATATATAGCCTGGGGGGAGCAAAAAAGAAATCTAAGACTGATGTAATAACGAGTTCAGATGATTAATGTACATTTGTCACTTGCACAAATTCGTGACAGGCAAATAGTTGAATGGCTGTTTTTAAAGTACAAGTGCAAGACTTATATCAGCATAGGATTTAAATCATTTTTCATACCATCATATAATATCAAAAGGCTGTCAATCCTGTGCAATGTTCCTATGAAGTTCCACATCAAAGAACTATCAAATTTACTTTTTCTTTTATAGAAATGCATTTTATTTGCAATAAGTCAATTTCTAATTATGTGCAGAATAAGTACAAAAATTTAAGAGAAAAATATAAAATTAATTAAATTTTTCCAACCTTTATTGTTCTTAAGTCATCTACAAAAGCAAACAATGTAGGATTAAGAGATTCTATATTCAGTATCGGTTTTTTAGACATTAAGCGCAGAAATTGAAGTGAAGCTCGACAAGCCTGAAAAAGAAAAAATCAATTGTAACCATATAAGAGATTAAAATAAAACAAAACATGAATATTATACAGGAACATGTATACATGAACAGGTATAATTTAAATAATTTTTAAGTTAAAAACTAAATAAATATACTTAGCTATTTAATGAAATATACCAATATAAATAAAAAAGATAAAAATTATGTTTTGCAGTTTTCTTAAGACATTTTTACTAGGCATCCCATATATGCAATAATATCCAAATCTGTAAATTTGAATGGACCCTTACAATATCAGATTTTATCTTAACCAAGAATATATGGGATGAAATGGAAAGATCAGTTTATGCCTGCAAATTATGAGGATATTCTTCAACAGGCTTCCTTGGAATATTGATACCACCTTCTCAGTTGCAACAATCGATAATGTAATTACAAAAACTAAAAATTTTTGTTAGCATTATCAATGTGTGAATCTACATTACTATTTTGAAAGAGAGGAGAACAGAAATGATAGGTAAAAACTGAGCTTTCCAATCCTATGCTTGAGATTGGAGGATTCTCCATTTCCCTTCTTGCTAAACAGTAAAGATAAAAATTTAAAAGCAATTTAGTTTGAAGGATAAGCTTAACACCACTAGAGAGAAGTATATAAATTTCATATACAGGGTGAATCTGAAAAAGTGGACAAAACTTTACGGGGTGATAAAACACAGCTATAAGAGAAACATTCGTCCTAGTACGTATGATAGGAACATAAGTGATGAGAAGCTAAAAGGTAGTTTTTTACTATCACATTTAAAGAATTAACAAAAGATTGAGAAGAAATACTTCAGGAAACGTTTTATTAACAGAAATGTAACTGATATACATGCTCAAAAGACATTCTACCAGCTGTAATGCAGGCTTTACACCTGCACGACAAGGACTGATGCACAATTTTGAAGACATCAGGCATTTTCCAAGTATAGCTGGCAACAAAGGCAATCCTGGTGACTAGATCCATATTGGTATCAATGGGGCAATCGTAGATTAGGCTTTTCACATGGCCCCACAGGAAAACGTCCAAACACGAAAGATCCAGTGATCTTGGTGGCCAAGCTTTGGGACCACCTCGACCAATCTATCACTCTGGAAATTCCATAGTTTGTATAATCAGCCATACTCTCAGCAATCCACAGAAGAAAATACCACTTGATGTGAGTGCCAACCCTTTTTATAGCATTTACAATCCAATGTAGTGGCTTGCCTTTTGCGTTCTGCCCAAACTTTCTATGACAAATATTGCTTGTATAGCTGCAATTGTATACCTGTAAAATTTCGCCCACTTTTTCAGATTCACCCTGTATAAGAACATATAGTACTTTGAAGTTTCAGCCTGTATAAGAACACCCTGTATAAGAACATATAGTACTTTGAAGTACTGTTTCACCCTGTATAAGAACATATAGTACTTTGAAGTACTGTTTCACCCTGTATAAGAACATATAGTACTTTGAAGCAGCCCCTCTACTTTATTAAAAGTAGTGAGGTTGGTCGGTTGGTTTATTTAATTATGGCATTCAAGAGCTATCTCCCTAAGGGAAAGGATGCCTTCATGAAAAACTTTCTGAGGGAAGCTAGCACATATATATGCTAAACATGGGGAAAATCAAGAAACTGTCTCTGCAGCCATGCCATTCACCGGAATTCAAAAGATGACTGCAAGTCTAGTCCCCTAGGACTGAACTACCAGTTTTCAGCAACTTTACCACTCGCTGCAGACAGTGAGAGCCAGGTGAATGATAAATAGTGGGATGTCTGCCAAAAACATTTAATTTTGCATGAAAGACAATTAAAATTCTCCCTTCAATATTGCTAATTGATATAGGTAGCAAAATAAGCAAGATTTTCTTAGTGTCCAAGTTCATAATTTTGAACTGAAATTATATCATTTGATGATGTTTAATAATATAGTAATAACTGTGAATAATTTTGGAAATGAATTATCTGGTGGTTTTGATTTTAAATGATTATATAATGGCTGTTTCGTTATAAACCACAAAGCACTGATTGTTCTCCAAGAACTTTTGTTTTGCCGAATTTGTATTTTACAGACAATTTTTGCAGCATGTTCCCATATGGGAAAAGCACAAAATAAGGTTGGGCAGATTACTATTTAATATCATTTTATTGTAAATAAAAAGAACTGCTCTATTTTTTTAGAACAGGGATTCTTAGCTAATGGGGAGAATGCAATCAATAATTTAATTTTTCGTTAAGTATTTAGTCTTATTTCATGAATATAAAAATTTCTTTTATTCAAGTTTTGGTATTTAATAACATTTTCTTATTAATTTACAAAACACATTAAAAAATAATTTAAATTAAAATAAATGTATAAGCATTTTTCAAGTTTTAGAAAGGATTTTTAGATGATCACCTAGCAGTGGTGAAAAGGTTGAGAATCACTTTTTAGAAGATATCCCAGGTTTGCTATGGAAATATTAAATTTATTTCTGACTCTAGCAAAGTGATTTTATGAGCTTAGTATGGGACTTCTTGTTTCCAGTATATTTCTTCAAATAACATGGGACTAAACGGTAGATTAGCTAATTTGAAATACAGTCAAAAGTCGTTAATTCGGACGCCCATAATCCGGAATGATCTATAATCCGGACCTCAAAGCTAAAAATTTTCTGCGCATGCGTCGCGTCAGCACATGCACACAGGCGTTTTACGAGTGCGCTTAAGACCTTCACTACTGCACATATGCGTGTGCGCAAGTGCAGAATACGTTTTCACCCGCGCGTTTAATGTTTAACGGACGGTGTAAGCTAAAATTATCTAATTATCTATTTCAGTTAATGTTGCAGACTGCGTTGTTCCTTAATCTTCTAATTGAATCCGGGTTATTATTTTTTGCAGACTGCAAGAGCAATTTTATAAAAAGTACGCTTGAACTTTCGATTATGTCAGAATAGAGTTTCCGATTCTGGAGCTGCCGAAGGATCTACAAAGTGAAAGCATATTCCGATGTCCATGAAACAAAATGGGGAATTGCTGCAAAAAATGGATAAAAGCATGAAGAAAATGACAGAGAAGTTAGTGAAAATGAAAAATTTCGATTGACAAGTTAGTCGGTATTCTCGGCACAGCAATTAACGGGACTTGAACGACAAGAATTATGTCTTTTATAGAATTAAAGAGAAAGTATATCACATAAAATGAAGCAACTTAAACAACTTACATTGAAAGAAATGTTTAATAAAGTAAACAAATAAATATTAAGCCTTTTTTTTTTTTTTTTTTTTTTTTTTTGTAAATTTTGATACCCTTTAGATCATAATTGTTCCTTATTTCATAAATATTTTTCATATTTTAATTTTAGAATTGCATGCCATCTACGAGATTTAAACTGATGACCTATAATCCGGAAAAATCAATAATCCGGAATCGACGAAGTCCCGACGAGTCCGGATTAACGACTTTTGACTGTAGAACTGCATTTGTTTTGTTTGTATAAATTGAAATTTTGTTCTCTGTAATCCAGGCTTCTAGCAAATCAAGATTGCTGTTGATCACTGTAAGCCTAGGGTCTCGACTTGTGATAAAATAACTGCTATTAAGGATGACTGATATTTGAATTTAAGGAATTGTGGAGTGTCATAAGTTTGACTAAGGTCTTGACTTGTGATAAAATAACTGTGCTATTAAGGATGACTGATATTTGAATTTAAGGAATTGTGGAATGTCATAAGTTTGACTATATAATAATGGACATAGGACTGAGATTTATGGTACTCCTGCTTTAATCAGGTTCCACTTCAAATATGGTCCACAATAATCAGGTTCCACCACAAAACTACAGAATTTTTTACAAGTTACCTGATGGTCATTAACTGTACTGAAACTGCAAAGATACATATTTATAAGTAGATTCCAAATATTTAGAAATGCTATAAATTATGTTCTTCGTTATAAGTAATTTACTCAGCATCTCCTAAACCACTAATAGCCCAAAATACCAAAATGCTCATGGTTTTTCCCATGTGTAGCGTGTATACGAGCCAGTTTCCCTTAGAAAGTCCTCCACGAAGGCATCCTTACCTTTAGGTAGATAACCCTTGTGTGCTTTTCCATAATTGAATAATCCCAATCCCCAAATGCTCATTGTCTCATTATTCAATAGCATTTTTAAAGGTATATGAAACATTAGTATGTAAAAGAAATTGAAACTACTTTTTCAACTTTATACATATGATGAAATTTTGAATCTGCCATAAATGATAATAACAGTTGAATGGTTATACGGAAGATGCAGTATGGCTGGCTAATATAGTTCTTAATTCTAGATATAACCTTCTTGAAAATCTACATAGCTAAATTGCAGCAAGACATACTGGCATTCCATGATCATAAACATATATAGCATTACAACAGGTGATAAAAAAGAAGCAGCGAACAATACATTAGGTATACAGAGGGAAATGTGAGAAGAATACAGATTATACAATTGAAATCAGATTAATGGTAATTAACGGTTTAAGTTTTAACTTTAATGTGCATTATTAGTGTTACATAATGATGTTATGACATGGATTAATTTTAAAATGATGCACTTCAAAGAGATTTATTTTAAGAATATAAAGGGGAATAATCGAATAAAAAGGAAGAATTAACAGTCTACTATGTATTAAAATTTTATCTTACATAAACATGATTAAATTGTACTGAAAAAGCAATTACCAATATAAAATATAAAATTAAGTACATGCACAAAAAAACCTTATTGATGAAGAGTTTCTGAAAGTCAAACTCCTACTAATTTTAACAGTAGCTGACACAGATCACTCTTCTTTCTTTATCTCTAACTAATACTTTATATAATTTTCTTTATCTCTACTACAACTTTTTCACCTTAACACCTTTCAACTTTCACCTTCGGTGCAGTGTGTTCGGTGTGAACACACCAAAAATATTCCCTCTTTAGACATTGAAAATAATTGATAAATATACCGAAACTACATATGGTACTTTATC